TGAGGAGGACGGTTGGCACTCAATCGCAGACAACGTACAAGTGGAGACGGGCTACTCCACGATTCCAGCCATTGTCGACCAGCATGCACGGTGCCTTCCTTGAGGTGCATGCTGGGAGTGAGGCCAAGGCTAGAGGAGCGTTGTTGTACTGAGGCCCAGGGTGGGGACCTTGAGCGGCTACGCTTTGCTGAGCTCACCTTCTATATGTCATGCTTTATAGCATTAATATCCTCCTGACATGCCCAGACCCGTTGCGGTACAGCGCGCCGATGGCCATACTTATTTTGCCTGGGGGGCGCCCCAGCCTAGCTACCTTTTTCAGGAGTCGGTTGAAAGCTCGACTCTAGACACACGCCGAGCTTCCAATGTGGGCGTGGTGTGCATTGTATTTGCCGGGGTCAGAGACCCCCTTGTGCAGGAGCCAGCTTAGCATGACAGGACAGGAGCTATGTTCGTAGGTCCTCTTGGCTCGCGAGGAACCAATAACATCATCAATCGAGCTACATGTTAGCTGCGCTGTGCAAGCTACGCGGCGTAAGCCCTGCGGGGTGAACGATTCGGTACAATCTCTGTGATATGTACTGCGCCGTGTAATATATGCGTTTTGTGTTATGTGGTACGAGCTGTGTTGTGCAAGGAGTGTGGCGTGAGCTAGTTGGCGATTGTTATGCGATTGATGTTATGCGGTGTAAGCTATAGTGTGTAAGCTGCGTGGTGGGAACTATGTGGTAAGAGCTATGAGGAGCAAGCTGTGTGGTCTCAGCCATGATGTTCAGGCTGTTTGGTGTGAGCTATGTGGTGCGAGCTATGCGCTGCAAGCTATGTAGCGCAAGGTATGTTGTGTAAACCATGCGTTGTGCAATCCATGCCAAAGTGAGGGAACCGAACGGTCATTAATTGCCCCTGCGTGCGTGGCTGAAGTTGGATTCCATGGCCATGATGCTTGAGTTCTCATCTCTAAAGAGTAATGGTTTAATCGCTTCGCTCATTCCGCCGGCCCATATTGCCTCGCCGCTTGGGGGCCGTGTTGGTGGGGCCTCTTGGGGGCTTCTGGGAGGCAGTTTTGAAGCCACTTGGGGGCCGTGTTGGGGCCTCTTGGAGGCCTCTTGGGGGCTTCTTGGGGGCCTTTGGGGGCCTTTTGGGGCCCTCTTGGGGCCTCCTGGGGGCCTCTTGGGGCTGAAGGCTGAACTTTTCGGTTCCTGGTCCCCGTCTTGGGCCCCTCTTGGAGCCGTTTTGGGGCCCTCGTATGCCGTCTTGGGCGCCTCCTGGGCTGTCTTGGGGCCGTCTGGGGCCGTCTTGTGGCCCTCTTGAAGGCTTCTTGGGCCGTCTTGGGGCGGTTTTGCTGGCCTCTTGGGCCGTCTTGGAGCGCTGGAAAGCCGAAAAGGAAATGTCTTACATGCGAAAAAATGTACGTCTCCCGTAGGGAATGGGACGATGTTTGCTTGTTCGGGCCCTCTTGGGGAGCCTCTTGAGGCTCTCTTGGGGCTTTATCGCACGAACTCTGGGGCCATCTGGAGACCATCTCGAGCGTCTTGGAGCGATCTTTCGGCGACTCAGGGCTCTTTGGGCCGTGCGGGGGGCGTCCCGGCGCCCTCCTGGCACGCTCCTGGAGCGCCCTGGGGGAGTCGGCCGGGCATCGGCCGAGGTTCTTTTCGCGCAGGGGTCCCTAGGCCTGGCATCGTTCGGACGTGTGCGTTTTTTTCCTCGGCGAGGGCCATCGGGGAGCATCCTTGACAATTTGCCCCAAAAAAACACGCACGAAACCGAAAAAAACACACGGAATGAACGTCCGAGCGATGGCGAGCCAGGGGCCGCCACGCACGCGCGCGAATTAGAAACATTGTTAACCTGTCACCGGAGATTTTAGCAGGCCTTTGGCCCGTTTGGCCGGCGAATTGTTGATCCCCCCAGGGCTCGCACCCTGTTTTTTTTTTATGAGGGAAAGTTATGGTTTTCAAATGCGAGGTTCCCCACATGCATTGCGTTATGAATGTTATTATGTTATCTCTATTTCTCTTTCTATTTCTTGTTATCTCTCTCTCGTCGTTCTCTGCCTGCAACACATACGCAGATCAACATGTGAAGGTGTCCTCTGTATGTCATCGACAGCACTCTGGTATCCCAGCATCTACTGTTGCCTCGTTTGGTTGCTGCTATCCCTGAGGCCGATGGCGGCAAGTACGCGTTCGTGCAAATTGCGCACGACGAAGATCCAGGCAGCATTTTTGTTACGGTGACGGGAGCAAGTGGTTTCGCTACACATTCGGCACGTTGCCTTGTTGTCTCATGTGTGCCAAGTCCGTTCGCCCACACGTCAGCCGTGCTGCAATTGTATCGCCATATCTTGTGCACGTTGTTGACGGCATTGGCGTATGTTGCGTATTTGGTCATGTCCGATCCAGATACCTCTTTTGCGTTAGTTGGTGATGGTTCGATTCCCAATCTGTACTGTGCGAGAGCGACACTGCGAAATGCAATGGCGGATGCTTCCGTTTCCCTGAATACATTGTTTGTCAGGGTCCTGTACGGTATGAACATTTTGACGGTTGGTAAAGTGTCTCCGCGATCCAAAATTTTGGTTGCGAGCAAGGGGGGAAGCGAGAAGGGGCGGGCCTTCTCAGAGGGCTCGGATTATCTTGGGCCTTCCGAGAAGTTTGCGGAGCCTCCCTCCAAGGCGCAGAAAACCTCTCAGCAGGCGCGAGGGCTTCTGCGAGGTCCCGCCGCCTTCTGAGAAGGCCTTCTCCATCTCGCTTCCCCCCCCCCCTCGCTCGCCGCCGATGGTGTGGGGCCAAACTGGGCCGGCCTGAAGCCAAACTGGCCCGGCTTGGGGCCAAACCGGTCGAGCTTGGGGCCAGACTGGCCCCGCTCGGGGCCAAAGCGCTCGAGCTCGGGCCCAGGCTGGCCACGCTTTTGGGGCCGAGACGGCCGCGTCTTCGCGGGCCCGAGCCGGTGGCCCGCGGCCTCTGGCCGTGGCTCGCGGCCTGCGGCCGTGGCCACCTGCCTCCGGTCGTGGCCTCTGGCGGCCCGGTCCCCCCCCCCGTCCTCCTCCCCCCCCACCCCGCCCCCTTCCTCCTCCTCCGCCTCCGCCTCCGCCTCCGCCTCCGCCACCGCCACCGCCTCCGCCTCCTCCTGCCCTCCTGCCCCCCCCCCAACGCCTGCTCCCCGCTCCCTCCTGCCCCTCCCCATCCTCCCGCCCCCTGCCCCTCCTCCTGCCCCCATCCACCTCTTTCTCTTCGCTCCTCCCTCCTCCTCCCTCCTCCTCCTCGTCCTCCGCCGCTTCCTCCCTCCGTACCTCCCTCCCTCCTCCTCCAAAGGCCCTGGCCACAGGCCCTGGGGCCCCCAGGGGCCATCTCTGGGGGCCCTCTCTGGAGATCTTCCCAGCCTGAGGACGTCGGGGCTTTTCAAAACGAAGGCACGTGACATATCAAGCGTTGAGTCGGGCCTGTCCCTCTACAGGGAGGAAATTCGAAAATAGTCAAAAAAAATAGTCTGGGGACTATTGTTTAACTATTTTTGAGCGGGAGTTGTTTTTGAGTATCTTTACTTTTTCGTCCAAAATCCCCCTGTAGGGGGACAGGCCCGACCTAAATCAAGCGACATCGACGTTGGCAGGTCGCCTCTCACTGGGAGCGGAAGGCCAATGATGCGGCCGACCGCTTTGCGAAGGCTGGCGCAGATCAGAAGAGCACGCCCGCTTGCTTCGTGGGCTCTGCAGCCTGGCGCTCGAGGCTGGGCACTGGGCTGGCACGCTCGAGGCCCACCTGTCGCGCCAGGAAGCGCGCGACACCTCGGGCCTCCCTGCCGAGGCAGTGGCGCCCCGCGGGGCCCCGCTCGGGGGTTCCGGCCAGGTGCTGGCCGAGGACTCGCGTCCTCAGGATGCCTCGGGACGCGGGCGGGGGCGGGTCGGGGGCGGAAAAGAGGGGGGTGATGACTAGGGGGGGGATATCATGGCGGGGGCCATGATATTTCCCTGGTTTTCATGGCGCCTCTTCTTATTTCACTGCGTCCCTGGCCCCCCCCGCTGGGCCGCGCACGTGCCGCCGGTCATGATTTGCACCCCCCCTCTTGGACACCCCCCCCTTGGCCTTGGCATCGCTCGGACGGGTGCGTTTTTTCCTCGGCGAGGACCATCGAGGAGCATCCTTGATGATTTGGCGAAGAAACCACGCACGAAACCAAAAAAGCACACGGAAGGGACGTCCGAGCGATGGCGAGTGGCCGCTCCCGAGGGACTCTGGGGGACTCAGAGAGGAGCACGCGCTCGCCCTGTTCTCGGGTGCCCGAGGGCGCGCGCGCACGCCTGTTCCTCCGCGCGCCCGTCCTGGCGGCCCCAGGAGGGGCCCCACGGGGAGGCCCGCGTTCTGCTGCAGGTGCGGGGTGGTCGCGGGAGGCGGCTCGGCGCCTCGACGGGCGTGGCGCCGGGGGCATCTCCGGCCAGCCTCGCAGAATTCGAGCGGAAGGATCTGGCCGAGACGCTCGAAGGGGGCGGTGGGCCTCTCTTCTGGTCCCGCGGAACCTGGGTCTGCCGACGACTTTGAGTCTCTTCAGGCGTTCGCCCCACGAGAGCAGGTCCTGGACCAATTCGGATTGACTGGTGATGACCTCCCCTAGGTAAAGGCTCGGGTGAGGCGTGGACTCGTCTCGCGGACCCCCTTGGGGAGAAGTCGGGTTCAGACGCGTTTGATGTTGTTTGATCCTGGGTCGCCCTAGCCGTAGGCCCGCCCCCGACAATCCTCCCTCCGCCTCCGCCTCCTCCTCTGCCCCCGCCTGCTCCCTGCAGCCCCCCCCCCCCGCCTCCTCCTGCTCACCCCCCTCCTCCTCCTCCTCCCCCATCCTCCTCCTCCCCTCCCCTCCTCCCCCTCCTCCCCTCCTCAATCCTCCTCCTCCCCCTCCTCCTCCTACCCCTCCTCCCCCCCCCCTCCTCCCCCCCCCTCCTCCCCTCCCCCCCCCGCCCCCCGCCCCCTTCTGGCCGAGGCCGCCCGCGGAGCATCTGGCGCGCCATGGCCACGGCCCGGGCCCTGCAGCGGCTGAGCCGGTGAGCGCCGCCCCATCGCCGGCGGCCGCGCGCGCGGCCCCGGGACGGGCGGGGGTCGGGGCGACATGGCCTGTGGGCGCGGGAGGGGCGGTGAGGAGGGGCGGAGGGCGGGAGGGGGGCGCAGGAGGGAGGAGGAGGAGGAGGAGGAGGAGGAGCACGGAGCAGGAGCAAGAGAGGAGGATGAGTATGATGTTCATGAGGATGACGATGATGATGATGATGATGATGATGATGATGATGATGATGATGATGATGATGATGATGATGATGATGATGATGATGATGATGATGATGATGATGATGATGATGTTGGTGATGATGACGATTGTGATGATGGTGTTCATGATGTTCATGATGTTCATGATGATGATGATGATGATGATGATGATTATGATTATGATGATGATAATGATGATGATGATTATGATGATGATGCTAGTGATGGTGGTGATGATGATGTTGATGACGATGGCGATGATGATAATGCTGATGATGATGATGATGGTGATGATGGTAGTGCTAATGATGATGATGACGATGATGCTGCTGCTGATGCTGATGGTGATGGTGATAATGATGGTGATAATACTGATGATGATAATGCTGATTGTGCTGACGATGATGTTGATGATGGTGATGGTAGACGTCATAGTGGTGGCAGTGATTGTGATCGTGATGGTAGTGATGATGGTGATGCTGGTGATGATTATGATGATGATGATGATGATGATGATGATGATGATGATGGTGGTGGTGGTGGTGATGATGATGACCACGATGCGTGTGGTGCTGATGATGGTCATGATGATGATGATGATGATGATGATGATGATGATGATGATGATGATGATGATGATGATGATTATGGTGGAGAGAACGTGATCCACCGCCGCTTAACTGTTGAAAGTTCCTCCCCCTTTTCCTCTGGAACCCAGGGGTCCCCCCCCACCCTCCGAAAATCCCCCCTCCCTGCTCGAACCCCCCCCCCTTCCCCTGGCAAAACCCCCCTAACCTCTCACCCCCCCTTGCTCCAGAAAAACGGGGTGGTCTCTACCGGTTCGAACCCCCCTATAGGTATACCCACCCCCGTCCAGAAACCGAAGGGGGGTCACTACCGGTTCGAACCCCTGGCCACATGTTTCCAACCTCTCTGTGTTCGTTGTATGTTTGCAGTTGTCACGAACTGGAGTTATCTTGGGTTGCCTCCAGTGGGGGAAGCCAGGGAACAGGAGGAAGCGAGTGTACCAATGGGAAGTCGCTACACAATCAAGACTTTGAGATGAGGAACATATAGGGTTCGGAAGAGGCTCGATTCTCGTTGTTTTCTTCCATGGCAGTTCCCCTAGCCCTCCTCGTGCATGCAGGCGCTTTCGGGGCCAAAAACGGGATTTCGCTTCTTGTTTATCGTCCCTTGTTTCAGCAGCCCGACTGCATCGCTGCATCGGAGAACGAGGCCTGTCGGGAGGATGGTCCAGGTACGGGTGGAGGAATGGGCGCAGCGGAGGACGGGAGCGGCGCAGCGGCGGAGGACGGCGGAGCGGAGGCGGAGGACGGTGGAGCGCAGGCGAGGCGGCGTGGAGGCGGGGGGGGGCGCGAGGAGCGGGCAGGGGGTTGGGGCGACAACGGTGATGGCCGAATCTCCACTCAGAGGGGCGGCCCGTGACCGCATCCCTCGAGCAGGGACCGACCGTCCTGGCATTCCTGTAGGCCTACCACGAAATTGTCGTAGACCAGGAGAGCTCTGAGAACAAGTTCGTAGAACAGACAGCTGGTGCGTTCAAACGGGACAGTCTCAGCCAGAATTGTTCTCAAGAACGCTTCGTGCAGACCACAGAAGGGAAAGTTCTCCGGACCACTGCCCGAATCTCCCCCTCCCCTCTGCGGAAACGGGCGCCGGTCGGGTGGCCGGGGCGCGAGGGCAGCCGGGAGCAGGGAGCAGGGGTAAAGTCGGGCATGTCCCTCCACAGGAGGAATGCTCAAGAATAATCAAAACATGGTCTCTGGTGACGTTTGTTCGTGATGGTTACAGCGTCACGAACAAACGTCATTAGACCATGTTTGACTATTCCGGATTCCATAACAAAGTGGGGGGGTCACATTCGGGGGGGGGTCTAATTTGAGTTGTCTTGCAGGGTTCGGGGGGGTCTGGGCAAAGGGCCGCCCTTTGATGGATAGTCTGGGGGGTCTAAAACTTCTCGTCTGGGAGGGTTGTGACCGCCTCCCTTTTATTACGAAATCTGGAGTATGTGTCCTTTTCCTTCCAAAGTCCGCCTGTAGGAGGGCATGCCCGACCTAAGTGCAGGGAGCAGCAGCGGCGAGGGGTCAGCGGCAGGCAGGAGGCGAGGGGCGGAGCGGCACCCTGGAGGCCAGCAGCGGGGGAAGCAGCAGCGAGGGGGCGTCAGGCGAGCGGGAGGGGGGGTGCGAGGAGGAGGTGTGCGAGGAGGAGGGGTGCGAGGAGGAGGTGTGCGAGGAGGAGGAGGAGGAGGAGGAGGAGGAGGAGGAGGAGGAGAAAGAGAAAGAGGAGGAGGAGCTGGAGCTGGAGCTGGAGCTGGAGCTGGAGCTGGAGCTGGAGCTGGAGCTGGAGCTGGAGCTGGAGCTGGAGGTGGAGGAGGAGGAGGAGGAGGAGGAGGAGGACGACGACGACGACAAGGACGAGGAGGAGGAGGACGACGAGGACGAGGACAAATGAGGGCCAGGACCGCGAGGCGGTATAGTCCCACCAGCCCTCTGGGCGTCGGTGGTTTAACGAGTTTCCTCGTCCACCCCTCCCTCTTCCCCTTCGGGGAGGGGTTTACCCCTCCCCCTACCCCCTCCCCACTGACCTGGACAGGGGGCTCCGCGGCGCGTTGGAGCGCCCAAGATGGCCCAAGACGGCTCCAAGAGGGCCTCAGGGAGCCCAAGATACCCTCCAAGATGGTTCAAGATAGCGCAAGATGCCTCAAGATGGTCCCCATGATGTTCCAAGACGTTCCAAGAACTCTCCAAGACGGTTCCAAGTGCCCACAAGAGCATCATTATGATGCATCCAAGAGGCCTAAATGCTCCAAAACCCTATGAAAAAAATCAATGTTTTTGGTGGTCTCACTTTTTCGCTTGCGATGCACATCCGAGGCGTCAAGATGATTCCAAGATGGCTCAAGATAGCTCCAAGAAGGGCCCAAGAAAGCCCCATGACGGCGCCAAGAGCGCCGAAGAGCGCTCCAAGAGCGGTCCCAGAGCGGTACAGGAGACGATTGTTGGAATTCTTGGGGGGGGCTCTAATTAAGGAGCCCTACTTTCTTGACCGATGTCCTCCAATATTGCCCCAAGAGCGCCCCAGCAGGGCCTTCAAGGGCGCCCAGACGGGTCCACGAGGAGCCCAAGCCTCCCAAAATAGCTTCCCAAGAAGTCCCCAAGAAACCTCAAGAGCCTGCCTCACGCCATTGAGAAGTCCCACCAGCCCTCTGGGCGTCGGTGGTTTAGAGCGTTTCCTCTTCCACCCCTCCTTCTTCCCCTTCGGGGAGGGGTTTACCCCTCCCCCCACCCCCTCCCCACTGACCTGGAAAGGAGGGGCCGCGACGCGTTGGAGCGTCCAAGATGAGCCAAGACGACTCCAAGAGGGCCTCAGGGAGCCCAAGATCTCTTCCAAGATGGTTCAAGATAGCGCAAGATGCCTCAAGATGGTTCCGAAGATGCTCCAAGACGCTCCAAGACCGCCCCAAGACGGCTCTAAGTGTCCACGAGAGCTCCTCTCGGATGCCCCCAAGAAGCCAAAATGTTTCAAAACCCTAGGGAAAATCAATGTTGTTGGCGTTCTCGCGCTTTCGCTTCCGATGCCCACCCGAGGCGTCAAGATAGCGCCAAGATGGCTCAAGATAGCTCCAAGAAGGGCCCAAGAAAGCCCGAAGACGGCGCAAAGAGCGCCCAAGAGCCCTCCAAGAGCGGTTCAGGAGGCGATTTTAGAGGCTTTCCAGGAGCGACGCTAATTAGTGCTTCCGCTTTCTTTGCCAGATCCCCTCCAAGATGGCCGCAAGAGGCCCCCAGGATGCCCCCAAGAGGCCCCGAGATGGCCCCAAGATGGCCCCATGTGGCCCCAAGAAGCTCCCAAGAGGCCCCCAGGATGCCCCCAAGAGGCTCCCAAGAGACCCCCACGAGGCCCCAAGAGACCCCCCAGAGGCACCCAAGACGCTCCAAGAGGCCTCGGCGAGAATGCCCAAATCATTGATTGTACTAAGGTTTTGGCCACATTTGGGCCTCCTGGGGGGGGTGGCACTGCTTCAGATGACTCCAAGAGCGCCTGCGAGAGCCCAAGATGACCTCCAAGATGGCTCAAGATATCCCAAGATGCCTCCAGATGGCTCCCACGATGCTCCAAGAGGCCCCAAGACCGCTTCAGGACGGCTCCAAGTGGCCAAAGAGCTCCCCCAAGAGGCCCCGAAGAGGCCAAAATCCTTCCAAAACCTTCGGAAAATCAACATTTTGGGCTTTCTCGCCTTTTCGCTTCCGATGGCCATCCGAGGCTTCAAGATGATTCCTAGATGGCCCAAGAGGGCTCCAAGAGCGCTCTGAAGGCTCCCAAGAGCGCTTCAAGAGGGCCCCACGAGGCGCCCATGAGGCCCCAGGAGGCCCCAACAAGCGCCCCAGAGGCCTCCAAGAGGCCCCCAAGAGACCCCCAAGAGGCTCCAAGAAGCTCTCCAAAGCACCCAAGACGCTCTGAGAGGCGTCCGGGACCGCCAAGAGGCCCCTAAGACGCTCCAGCCGGCCTCCACTGGGTACCCTTCCTTTGTGTGCTGCCCACTTCCCTGATCGAGGCACTTCCTCTGGGCATCGTTTCTGGATGGGCTGGTGGGTCTACGCGAAGCGTCTAGAATTGCTCATAGGTGGGTGGAAAAGCCAGCAGCATCAGGGGCAGGAGCACGAGCAGCACCGGCACGGGGAGGTGAGGAACGCATGGAGGCGGCTCGGGAGGACCCGCCAGCGCCGCGGCCACGTGGCCGCGTTCGCCAGCACATGAGGAGTCTGGCGCAGGCAGCCGAAAGCGTGGTCTGGGGAGGAGGAGGAGGAGGAGGAGGAGGAGGAGGAGGACCTGTGGGCACGGGGAGGGATGTTGGAGGCGAGAGGAGGAGGAGGTAGAGGAGGAGGAGGCGGAATGAAGTGGACATACTGCAGGCAACAGAGACAAGATCGCGCCCCATCGCGGATGCATCGGCGATGCGGCTCGATGCCTAACCCGATTTCTTCATGCCGATGTCGCCGATGCATCGGTGATGCATCCACGATGCAGGGCGATCCTCCGACCCCATCTCCATCTGGGAGACCTCAAGGGATGCGGGAGCCAAGAGGAGGAGGAGGAGGAGGAGGAGGAGGAGGAGGAGAGCATCGGCCAGCGAGGTACCCGCTCGTGGTCCTCACCAACGCCACCCGCCTGCCGGGCGGGGCAGACGTTGCCAGGCAGGCCACCCCGGCACCGCAGCGCTCCCACCCGCCAGCGTTCTCCGCCACCTCCATTCCCTCCCCCCTTCCTCCCTCCGCCCTCTTCCGCCGCATCCCTCCTCGTCGTTCTCCTCCCCCTCGCCCATCCCTGCACGTGCAATTCGGGCCCCATCCTGTTGCTCTTCCATGTGGGCTTAGTTCGTTTCTGTGGCCTGAGGTGTCCCTTCCATGTCTCTTCTCCTGCCTCTGCCCTCCTCCCTTCTGCCTCGCCCTCCTCCTCCTCCACCTCCCCCCCTCTTCATTCCTTGACCCCCCCCCATCCTCTCATCCATCCCCTCTTCTCAGTCCCCTGCCATCATCGCTCCTCCACCCCTCGTATTCCTACCCTGCCGCCACCCCTCCTCCCGATTTCTCCGCCCTCCTTCCTCCGCCTCCTCGGCCCGCGATGCGGAGCCGTTCTCGAACTCGGGGCCCGACCAAGAGGCTGCTGACGCGGATCGGGGTTCACTGATCGAGATTCGAAGACCGAGGATCGCGGTGCGGTTCGAGGATCGAAGCTTCTCGACGGCAGAGACGAAACGGGCTGAGCAGGAAGGAGGAAGGCGGAGGCGGGAGGTCGGGGAGGAGAGGGCTGCGGAGGAGGCAGCAGGAGGGGGGGAGGCAGAGGAGGCGGAGGAGGGTCTCGGAGGTCTCTGGGGTTCGTGCCCGGGGGATCCTGGACGGCGGGGAGGTGGGCATGGGGGACGCGTATCCCTGACCTTCCAGAGAGCTATGTTTTAGCACTGGAGGCCTAAAAACCTAAAAAACTGAGCGAAACAGCCTAAAACCAAGACGTAGAATAGCCTTGGGATAGGTTTTTAAGTCGCGTGCTATTTTTTTGCCCTCTGGGAAGGTCAGGGATAGAGCGGGGAAGCTCTTCCTGGGAGAGCCTCTTCCCCGCCCGGCGCGCCGGGCGCCGGCGGCGGCGACGAGGCCGCTCGGCCCGGCTCGGCCCCCCGGGAGCGGCGAGCCCAGGAGCCTCGCGAGGCTCAACGCGCAGGTGCTCCCCGTGTACCGCTGCCCTCCGGGGGCAGGGACCTGGCAGCCTGGCATCGCTCGGACGTGTGCGTTTTTTCCTCGGCGAGGGCCATCGAGGAGCATCCTCGATCCTTTGGCGAGAAAAGCACGCACGAAACCGAAAAAAACACAGGAAATGGACGTCCGAGCGATGGCCAGGGGAGGGGGGCCAGCTCGAGGTCCGAGGCTCGAGGTTTCCAGGCATGCAGCTCCGTCGGTGCTCGGCGGCTCCTCCAGCCTCGGGGTGCCTCGCCCTCCTCCTCCTCCCCCTCCCCCTCCTCCTCCTCCTCATCCTCCTCCTCCTCCTCCTCCTCCTCCTCCTCCTCCTCCGCCTCCTCCTGCCGGGGAGCCGAGTTAATGTCCGAGAACCAGGGGGCAGTGCGGGAGGGGGGGGAACACCGGCCGCCTTGGCCACAGTACCTCGCACGACCAGAGGGCAGCCAGCCCGATGTTGCACGACCAGCACGCAGGCACCATCGCCGTCGTACCAGGCATCACGCTGCACGAACATGCTGGCAATTTCGACGTCATCCGTGGAGTCGAAGGTGATGGCGACAGGGGACGTCTCGAAGCTGATTGACACGATGGCCTCGTCTTTGTGGCCCAGGAGGCCTCAGGAAGCTAAGGCGAGCGCCGTGTCACCATACCTGGGCCGCCCAGCCGATGCTGTCCCTGTGGCCGCTCCTAGGGGGTGTGCCCCGCAGGAATCCACCCTCTGTTGCGCGGCCACTCGGGAACAGCTGTCGCTGGGCCGCCCTCAGTCGAGGAAGGAAACACTGCGCAAGCACGAGCCGTCGGCGGTCCGCGGGGACTTCTCGGATCTACGCCGGGCTTCCCTGGCGGAGCCTCCGCCCCCAGTGCGCTCCGCGCGTCAGGGAGGGGGATCCAGGAGTGGGGGAAAGAGAGAGAGAGAGGCCCTCCTACATCCCCATCCGCGCCACTGCTCGGCAATGGTCTCCACCGTCTCCACCCCAAGGAGGTCGGGGTCGCTGTCGAGCCGTTCGCTTTTTCTCCTTTCTAGATGGGGCCGTTGGCCACCACCCCCTCTCCCCGTCCCCCCTCCCATCCCCCCCTCTCCCTCTCCCCTCTCAAAAAACATCACCCCCTCTCCCCTCCCCCATCCCCTATTCGCCCTCCCGCCCCCATCTCATCACGTTGTCCTGCTTCTCCCGGCCCTCGTCCGCCGCCGCCTCGGACGCCGGGGCCCCCACGCGGCACGCCTGCGCAGAGGTATGACGTCGGGATGCCACACGGCGCACTCTCCGACGACCAGCAGCGGTGCCCCGGCCCCTCCCCCCCGAGCGCAGCCCGCCCGCGCCGCCCATCCCCGACGAGGAGGAGGGAATGGCATGGAAGGGGACGGGAGGAGAGGGGGGGACGCTTCTTGCAATGCAGTATCCTTTTCCCCTCCCTCTCTTTCTCACCCTCTCCCTCCTCCTCATCCTCATCCTCATCCTCATCCTCATCCTCCTCCTCCGCCGAAGGTGCACCTGCTGACCCTCCTACTGCTGTGCCTCCTCCTGTTTTGCTCGCTGTGCCAGGACACTCTACTGAGCTGGACCCGCCTCTGGATGTCAGAAATCAACCAGCTCAGTTACGACGTGCCCTTAAAATGGCGCCGGGGGGCCAGGTCGAGCCTGGGGACCAGCGCGATCTGGATTTTGATATGGAGGAAGAGGATGCTCGAGCCTTTTGTGCGGATGATGTTTCAGCCCCTTCGGGTGCTAGTAGGCCTGCGGATGTTCTGCAGAGTGTGGCGGAGGCCCTTCGCCGCGAGGAGGACGAACAGTCTCTAGCGCTGCCTTCGCACGATGATGGAGGGGCGTCTGATTGATTTTCCGGTACTTTTCACTTGCAGTAGCCGTGGCACGCCCCAGGGGTAATCCGTGACCTACTCTTGGGCGTCTCATCTTTGTACTGGTGAGTGCAATTTGTCTTGATGACCCTCTGTAGCGCCATGACATTCGGTTGTTCGAGACCTCCAACGCGAGGAAAGAAGAGGTGGGGGTGTTCCCGCAGGGAAAAATCCTCCTCCTCCTCCTCCTCCTCCTCCTCCTCCTCCTCCCTCCCTCCCTCCCTCCCTCCTCCCTCCCTCCCTCCCCCTCCCTCCCTCCCTCCTCCCTCCTCCCCCTCCCTCCTCCTCCTCCCTCCCTCCTCCCTCCTCCTCCTATTCCTCCTCCTCCTCCTCCTCCTCCTCCTCCTCCTCCTCCTCCTCCTCCTCCTCACTGACTGGAGATATGATGTTGCCACCAGCTCAGCGCACATTCGAGAGCGCGACGATGGCCTGGATCCCCGCTGCTGCGCACTAGAGTAACTAGTGCAGGCCCCGATCGAGTTCGGTGTTTGAGGGCGGGCGGTCCGGTTTAGTCTTCACGGTTACTAAGGAGCTTCGTCATAATTAAGGCCACGACTCCAGAGATCCAACCAGTCAGGTTCGCAGAGAAATGAGGCCTCCTGCATTGTTTGCATTGCTTGCCACCTGCTTGTTTTTTTTTTGGTTGGCAGAGCGGGGAGAGGTGTGGGGGTAGGAGCGGGGGGGAGCTGAGCTGAGAGAGAGACGCGCCCACGGCCGCGCGTGCTGGACACGAAGTTCGGCACGCTGCGGGGGGCGCTCGTCCTCCCCTCCCCCCCTGGGGGTTAGGGCGGTCCTTCGCGTGTGCGCGTGGTGCGTGAGCGTGTGTCGGAGCGCGAGTGCGTGGTTCGCCCTACCCCCCCCCCTCGAGAGTGGGATAGGCCCTGGTGCCGCCCTGCTCCTGCGCTGGCCCCCAGTGGGGGCTAGTATGCATGGACTGGGGAGTGGCTGCGCCTCTGGCGCAGGCACAAGGTGCCAGGGGACTTATCTCACCTCTTCGCCCCGCCGTCTTTTCGCGGCCGTTCCACAAGTACGAGGACGGCCGCCCCGCCTGCCGCAGCCGCCGCCGCTGTCGACGCAGCGAGCTCGGGGTGCAGGAGCGGGTGGTGTAAAGGGGGGGGGGGGG